TCCGGGGCTGCATGCCAAGCACGGCTGGTGCTGAAGGAACTGTGAGCCCCCAGCAGGTGTGGGGCTGAACCAGCAGGGACCCTAATTACATTATCCGCGCAGCACGCAGCGCACAAAGCCAGCCCCAACGCTTGCAGAGGCGGGAGAGAGCCGGAGCTGGCAGTGACTCATGGCAGGGGCAGGGCTGCCAGGGCCCCGTGGAAGTGCCTGTGGCAGGGCTAGGCAGCAGCTTGCTGGCACGGTGAGAGTGGCCGAGGGCTCCCAGCGTGGGTTGCTTGCTGGGAATGCGGCTCCCCCGGCACCATGGCTGTCCACGCGCCCTGGAAAGGGCCAGGTCCTGTCCCCGCTGCAGGGGCCTGCCGGATGCACACACGGTAACGTCCTGCCAGCCAAAGGGGATCGAGGTCAGTCCTGCTTCTGGCCCCGTTTGAGAGAGGGAGCCTGTTCCTGAACTGTCCCTGGCTACTGCGAAACCTCCAGCACGAGTCCAGGAGCTGCCAAACCCCCCTCGCAGCTGAGCCTTCTGTTGCCGGCAGCCTCACAGCAGCAGCGGAGCCTGGCGAGTTACATTTCCCTGCTCCGGCACTTGCAAAGCCCTCGGTTAAAACGGCTGACTCTGGACCGGAGAAGAAGCAAATGTTTCCTGCTGCCGTTGCTCCATCGGCCAGAAAATGGGAGGAGAGCAGCCCAGGGCAGAGAGCTGGAGTGGGACTCAGTGCCTGGTTTGCCACTGGCCTGATGCTGGGCCAGTCACGGCCCCTGCATGACTCAGTTTCCCCTCCCCTGTAAAAGGGAGTTACTTCTGCTGGCCTTTGGAAAGCAGGTGGGGAATGCACAGTGCTGTGTGAAAACTCAGTTATCGTAGTGACAGCTGGTGTTCTGCCTGCGAAGGACACCGATGGCCCCGCTGGGCACCCATTGTTCCCCACAGCACAGGGTTCAGGCAGCAAAGACCCAAGATGGATTTGATTGGAATCTCACCTTTTTCTCCAGCTGTAATTCATTGGCTCAGTGGAGCCATTCCGGATCTCTACCAGGCCAGAATCGGGCCTGTCTGATCTCTACCAGGCCAGAATGTCCTCAGACCCTCTGCCCCAGGCTGAGGAAAGCAGGGGAAGGGGAAGGCGCTGTCCTTATGCCCATGTGAGCAGGCTCCTCCCGGACCCCTTAGCATCTGGGGAAAGTTCTCCAGAGGGGTCTGTCCTGGAGGAAGGAGGAATGTGCCAGGCAGAGGCGTGGCCCTCCCAAAGAGATGGAAAGGGGGATCCGCTGGCCTGGCGGAGAGACGAGGAGGGGCTCGTCTCGTGCGTGACTCAAGCCGAGTGTCCATCCCTGGCGACGTGGGACGGAGCGAGCCGAAGGGCTCTCCTGGGTAGCACAGCATGTGGGCTCCGGGAGAACCAGCCCGGGCCAGCGCCCCTTGGCAACCACTGGGCCAGCAAGGTTAGCCATCCGGTGCCCTGCCTACCTCGACTGCCAGGACTGATTGAGCTGCTGTTCACCTGGGCTTTCAGCCCCCGCGAAGCTGCCTCGCTCCATCTGAGAGCAGCTCCTGGCGCTGGAGGAGTGGGAGGAGCTGCCCTGCAAAATGCCAGCAGCGCCAGGGAGATGGGACTCGCTGAGTACAAGAGCTGGAGTCAGACGCAGCACGTGGGCAGAGTGCAGGTGAAAACTCTCCCGTGCGCCCTGGGCTGAGGCCAAAATGTGGCAAAGACTGAAGTAAGGAAGAAGGCGACGAAAGGAGATTGGGCTGGAAGAGAGAAGGAAAGAGCCCCTGTCATGCGCAGCCCTGCTCTCTGGGGCTCCTGGCGATTCTCTGCTTCACTTGGGCCTGCCCTGCAGGCTCCCAGCAGCTTCCGCCGCTTCCCGCAGCGTGTGATTAGACTGTGGAACTCATTGCCACAGGACTTGGTGAGCGTCACCTGCGGGTTGGGTGTTTGTATCGCTAACAGCAATAGCCGGAGCTGGAACAGCTTATGCGAAAATGAAAACTTCCTGCCTCGGGGCTTATGCCAGAGCCTAACTGTGGGGGTCAGGAGGCGACTCCCTTGGGGAGGATTTATCCGCCATCCGCTGGCTGCTCGGGTTCTCGGGTCCTGTGGACTTGCTGGACTTGGGGTCTGGTGCATTCTGCCAAGGCCCGAGTTCTCTGCTTTCCCATTCCCCACGGGGCTCTGTTCCCTGGCATCCCAGATCCAGGAGAAGGGGAGCCTGCCCCTGCCCTGCGCCGTGCCCCCTTGGAGTAGTGCCTTGGAAGGAATTTGTGCCATCCGCTGGCTGCTCGGGTTCTCGGGTCCTGTGGACTTGCTGGACTTGGGGTCTGGTGCATTCTGCCAAGGCCCGAGTTCTCTGCTTTCCCATTCCCCACGGGGCTCTGTTCCCTGGCATCCCAGATCCAGGAGAAGGGGAGCCTGCCCCTGCCCTGCGCCGTGCCCCCTTGGAGTAGTGCCTTGGAAGGAATTTGTTCCCCATGGGCCAGGGAGTGCACAGCTTCCCTCCTGGGGCTCCCCTGAGGGATGCCAGGTTGTGCCAGCTGCCAGAGAGCCTCGTCCGTGGGCACACCAAGCCATGGCACTGAGAGGCTGGGCCGTCCCCAGGGGCTGTGGAAAGGACAGAGCGAGCTCCCGAGCTGTCCCTGCTTTGTGGGGACATGGTATGAAGGACAGTGACCCGGGAGGCTCATCCCCCGCTAATACCTGGGACTTGGCTCAGCCACAGCTCTAGGGAACACTGGCAGCCCTTGCATCCAGCTGGGCACCAGGGGACAGCATGGTGATGCCTGCTGTTCTGCCCTGGCCCACTGCGTGGGCTGAAGGGCTGGAGCCCACCTGGGCAGAGGTCTCGCTTGGCTTCCAGGGAGGCAGCGGCAAAGCCCGGGGGTGCAATGGCGCGGGGTCTGCCCCCTCAGCTCACTTGGATTTCTTCAGCGGGCTCACCCTGTGTATCCTGGCCCTTATGGACCGTGGGCACGGGCCCCTCCACTTCACCTGACTGCTGAGATCATCACATCCGTGGCTGCTGGTGATTAACCTCTGCTGAGTCTCCTTAGCACTTCATTACTCACCGCTCTGCACCGCACGTAATGAGGGCTTTACAAAATTCAAGACAAGCGTGATAATGACTCAAGTACAGGAATAGGCCCCCAAGTGGCCCAAGTTAGAAACACTCTCTTCCATTTGGATAGCGTCATCCAGGTTGGACCTCTCTAGTCCGGCACGCTTTGGTCTGGCAACATCTGTGCTCCGGCATGATTTGAGTTAGCTGGATGTCCACTTAGCATGGGTGAGGCCAACTTTCCCGCGGTCCCATAAAGTTTGTTTGCAGCCACCAGTCCTGGTTCTCAGTGTTCTGGGCTGTTCTTTAGCTCTAATTTACCCCGAAATGTCTTCTAAGAGCCCAGCAAGCAGTGGCAGTGTTGGTGATGCTGCTAGACAATATCGACCTTCCATGGTCTGGCAGATTCTCTCGTTTGGTCTAGAAGACATGAACTGTGAAGAAAGACTGAAATAAATCAGTTTGTTTAGTTTAGAACAGGGAAGGCTGAGAGGGGACATGAGAGCGGTTTTCAAGTACATAAAAAAATGTTACAGGGAGGAGGGAGAAAAATTGTTCTGCTTGGTCTCTAAGGACAGGACAAGCAGCAATGGGCTTAAACTGCAGCAAGGGAGGTTTAGGTTGGACATTAGGAAAAAGTTCCTAACTGTCAGGGTGGTTAAACACTGGAATAAATTGCCCAGGGAGGTTGTGGAATTTCCATGGAGATATTTAAGGGCAGGCTGGACAGACACCGGTCAGGGATGGTCTAGATGGTGCTTGGTCCTGCCATGAGGGCAGGGGACTGGACTTGCTGACCTCTTGAGGTCCCTTCCTGTCCTAGCGCTCTAGGATTCTATTTCTTTTTGAATTGTTCCCATTTGAAAAATCGCCTCAGTATTCTGGTCTAGACTGAGCCGTCCCTGAGGGGGCCAGGGCGATGCAGGCCATGGTAAGCAAATCAGAGTGCAAAGCCGGCCCCATGGCATCATAGCAGCGCATGACCGCCTAGGCGGAGAGCATTGGCGTGGCTGTTAATTCACTAGCACCAAACGGGAGAGTCTCTCTCAGTGAGGGGGTACCCTGCCTCCTCGCTGGCCTGCGCCTCCAGTGCTGGGAGCAGCCGGGGGCAGGGGGCACTCGTCCTGCTGTGGGTGTCCGCCCAGCACTGCAGGGGCTCTGCCAGGCCACAAGGGCATTGGCAAGGCTAGCTGCGGGCACAGAACTGGGAAATGGATAGCAGGAGACACTGTAAGTCGGATTCGGGGTGCTGGTGGGCAGAGGGGCCTGGTGGGGATAGGAGGAGATGCTGTAAGTTGGGTGCTGGGTGCTGGCGGGCGGAGGGGCAGGGTGAGAAGGCGATGCTGTAAGTCGGGTGCAGGGTGCTGGCGGGCGGAGGGGCAGGGCGAGAAGGCGATGCTGTAAGTTGGGTTGGAAGGGCACATGCAGAGCAGGGTGGGGAAGACGCCCACCCCTGGCACATTGTACAGTTTAATGAAAACCCCCTAACGGAGAGTGAAGGGCAGCCGCACCCTGCTGGGCATGTTAGGGGGGATCCTGCCTTGGTGCTTTTCCAGGTCCCCTCTGTGCTGGTTTTGCTTCTTATGAGTCTCTCTTCTCCACCCTCCTCCCCTATTTCTGTTCTTCCCATGGCACTTTCCTGCTGTGCCGGCTGGATAATCCTATTTGTACTGGGCTTTGTGTAGATGCAAATAGTCAGGCGGCCTGAGGCAGAGAGACAACATGTGAGGGGGGAGCTGTGCAGGAGTCCAGCCCAAGAGGACAAAGGCCCTGCAGATCTCTCAAACCTCCCCCAGCAGATTTCAGAGCCACAGACGGAGACCTGTGGGGATAAGCAGCCCCCGTCTGATTATCAGCCTTCCCCCATAGCTCATGTTCTCTTGCCTCGAAACATTCTCGTTGCTCTTCCCTGGACCCTCTCCAATTTCTCCACATCTTTCTTGAAATGTGGTGCCCAGAACTGGACACAATACTCCCACTGAGGCCTAACCAGCGCAGAGTAGAGCAGAAGAATGACGTCTTGTGTCTTGCTCACAACACACCTGTTAATTCATCCCAGAATCATGTTTGCTTTTTTTGCAACAGCATCACACTGCTGACTCATATTCAGCTTGTGGTCCACTATCACCCCTAGATCCCTTTCTGCCACACTCCTTCCTAGACAGTCGCTTCCCATTCTGTATGTGAGACACAGACTGTTCCTTCCTAAGTGGAGCACTTTGCATTTGTCCTCATTCAACTTCATCCGGTTTGCCTGAGCCCATCTCTTCGGTGTGATTGCAGGCTGCCCTGCAGGGACCCTCCCGTGCTGTGCGGGGCGGGTGCCAGCTGCAGAGCGCGGCTCCACACGCCCCAGAGAGCCTGGGCCGGGGAGCAGCAGTGCAGCCTAGAAAGTATGGGTTGAAAGTGCCCTCGGGAGGTGAGTTAGGCCGAGCCCCACCACGGCCAGGCGGGGGCCAGCGCTGGCTTTGCCTCCCATGAGAGATGCATCCTGCCGGCCTCAGCTTCGCTCCACCAGAGAGGAAACAGCACTGCATTCCCTTAGCCCAGCCTGAAGGGCACATCCCAGGGCCAGTTCCCCATGGCCGGGGACAGGCTGAGGACCCTGGCCCAGGCCCTCGGGGGCACCGTCTCAGCAGCTCCCCCAGTTTGAGCAAGCAGGTGTCTCAGCCCCCCTCACAGATGGCGCCTACTTCTGTCCCCTGCAGGCTGTGTGCCGGTGCGGTTAGCTGGCGTTCGGCGCCTGTCTCTGTGCGTGCCCGGTGGCTAGGGCTCCCTGCTGTCCGTAAGGGGGCTGCTGGGCCCAGGGAAAACAAAGCAAAACCCCGCCCCCGAACGCTCGCTGCTCAGGCCTGGCTCCTGGCTATTGCTGTTTGCTCCGCAGCCGCTCGTGAGCTGGGTTGGGCAGAGCCAGCCAGGCATCCAGCTGGCATAGAGACAGGCCTGGGGCAATGCCCTTGAGTCCGAGTGTCTGGCAGCGCTCCTCCAAGGCAGGGCGGGTCTGGGCTAGTAAGAGGAGTGCTGGGTCGAAGTGGAAGAGAGGCCTCGGCCCTCCTCCTCCCCCAGCCCGGCCCGGCCAGGCTGCCCCACGCCGTTCCTTTCCTGGCTTTCCGCTGCGGTCCTGGGCCATGCCATGCCGGTTTGTGCTGGGCCAGCCTGCCCCGGCCCTCCTGTAGCCTTCAGGTCCAAGAGACCGTGGTGATGATCTGAGCTGACCTCCAGCATAACCCGGCTGGACAAGAAGGCCTGGCCGTGGAGAACTGGAGTCTGGGGCCTTTGGAGTGATCGCTGAGCTAGGCAGGGAGCTCTGGGCTTGGCTTAAGAGCGCCCAGCAATGGAGAGCCAGCTGCATCCCTTGGGAAGTCGTGCCGGTGGTTAATTACTCTGCCCGCTAACCAGCCTGGGTCCGGCGGTCTGCCCTGTTACTGCCCTGTGCCAGGCCTCGCCACCCCAGGCGGGCTGTGCTCCCCCCATGTCCCGGCTGGCTTGTCACTCCTGCTGGGAGCCAGGAGGTCCAAATTGATCCAAATTGTCCGTGAGGCCTCCCGAGCTAATGTCCGTGCCCATCTGAGTGTATAGACCACCCACCTGGCAACCTGCCTGCTGCCCCATCCCACCGGAGTCTCCCCAAGGGCTGGTGCCTGTGAAATTCCAGCTGCTTGTTTCTGATTTAACCCCAGCGTTTGTCCAGCTCCCTTTCCACCCCATGAATTATTCTCTGGGCGCGACGTGCAGCCGTCTTTCATTTCACCCTTTCCGGCGGCAGCCTCGGCCTCGCTCATAAATATTTCCTCTGGCTGCGTGCACAGGGCTGTAATGAAATGATCCGCACAGGAGAAGGCAGGGGCTGGCTGTCCGGGCACTGGGGGAGTGGTTGGAGGAGTCTGTTACAGTCCCTGGCTCACGTTACCACCAGCCGCTGTGCGCGCCGCCCGGATCCTTGCGCCCGGATCGTTGGTTGGGCAGACGGTGCCGTGTACAAACCACATGATCGGGGCAGATGAGAATGCCGCGGGGCCCCTGGCAGCGAAATTTCGCGGGGCCCCTCCTTTGACACGGCGCATGCGTGGGGCCTCGGGAAGCGCGGGGCCCAGAGCAGTCGCCCCGCTTGCCCTGCCCTAAATCTGCCGCTGTACGTGATACCAGGGGAGCTGCCCTGGGCAAGAAGGGATGCAGTCGTGGCCTGTCTTGGGATGTTCATTTTGTTACTCAGGGTATGATGGTCAGTCCTGCCAATAGTCCTGGGACCCAGCAACACAAAAGGGCCCAGAATCCTTGAAAGTGCTGCCGCAGCCTCAGTTTCCCCCTTTGTGAAATGGGCTCAGTATTCCTTCCTTTCCTCCCTGCCGATGTGTGACTGATCTGATCAGGCTGAAACTCGCCCGGGCAGTGTCCTGTGCAGGGCGTCCCCAATCGCAGCTGAGGCCTGGAAGAGCTCGGATGCGACCGCTAATAATCCCCACTGGGACGTGCACAGCTCAGTGACGGAGCTGCTGCTCCTGGTTCTCTCTCATTTGCAGGCGGGGCCCCAGTCCGCCTGGGCAGAGGAACTGCACTCTTGGTACCAACTCTCACCATAGGCAGGGTCCTTTCGACTTGGCCCCCGCGGCGGGAGTCCCTGGGCTGGCCACGCGTGGGAGGGGAGACCCCTTTTGCTCTTTTCTCTTTCATGGCGAAAGGCTAGAGAGGCGCTCAGGGTGTCTGGTCGGGCCGGAGGCGGGCCCCTGATCCGGTGAGACGAGCGCGCCCGGGCGGGCAGGCCCCCTCCCTGCCGGGCTAGCGCCATAAATATGGAAGGGTTCTGTCTTGCCGGCGGGCGATCTCCCTCAGGGAGAGCTAATGAAAGAATCCCCGGGGCGGGGCGCAGGCTGTGGCACCGAGGGGCGCGGTGGCTGTCGGGGCGCGATGCCCGGCCCTTCCGAGCGGTCTGTTCGTGTGCCTGTGGTGCGCCCGGCCCTCCAGCGGGATGGCGTTTGTATTGCCAGCGTTCCCCTCTCCCTGGGAGCCGGCTCTGTCGCTGGGCGCGGGCTGGACGGACGGGGCCGTCTCTGGATAACGGTCCCACGGAGCCAGGGCCGTAGGGGAGGTGGCTTTGTCTCTTTCCAGCTGTCTGACGCGCGGCTTCCTTTGCTGCTGGGTACCGCAGGCTGCCGGCTGCTGGTGCAAGTCTTGCCTTGTGCAAACGCCAGTCGGAGTCACTGGGAGCCGGCTCTGTCGCTGGGCGCGGGCTGGACGGACGGGGCCGTCTCTGGATAACGGTCCCACGGAGCCAGGGCCGTAGGGGAGGTGGCTTTGTCTCTTTCCAGCTGTCTGACGCGCGGCTTCCTTTGCTGCTGGGTACCGCAGGCTGCCGGCTGCTGGTGCAAGTCTTGCCTTGTGCAAACGCCAGTCGGAGTCACCTCGGCAACAGGGCAGTGTGGTGGCTGGGTGGAATGGAGGCTCCTTTGGTTTTGCAGCAAAGTCCTGCTGTGCCCATGAACGGGGCAACTGCGAAATCAAGCAGCTGAAAGTCAGAGGCAATTGTCACTGACATGAACCCAATGCTACGAGGTATATTTTCCAAACACGTGCCAAAGCCAACAGTGGGGATCATCCAGGCACTGTCGCTCTACAAATGCAAGGAGAGCCTGGCAAGCGAAGTAAAGAGGGGGGATTATCCCCATGTAACAGATGGGAAAACTGAGGCACGCTGCATTGACCCAACTAGGGAGCATGCGTATGACAAGCTGTTTGCTTTGCTGCTGGGTACAGCCAGTGCATGGGAGCGCCAGCTCCGGGCTGGCTTGGGTAGCGACTGCATTGTTAGCTCGGGGAGCACCTGTGCATGGCGCCAGACAGACAGCACGGAAGGCAGGGCCCCTTGGCTGTGGGAGTCATGGTCTAGGGCCAGCGATGGGCACGGCTGACATTCAGCTGGAGCGAGGGCTGGGAATGGGACTCAGACTGAGGCAGGGTGGAAGGGAGCTCGGGGGGACGAGGGAGGGCAGACCGGCAGCCTGTCAGCAGGAGAGAAGGGCTGGCTGGACTCTTTCTCCTGGGGGTCGCACCGCAGCGGGCAGGGGCAGTCGGATGCCAGGGCAGCCGCACTTTGCAGCAAACCCGTTTTGTTCGGGGGCAGGAAGCCGGCCGTGGGGCTCCCAGGCAGAGGGAGGCCGTGCTGGGCTCTCCGGCAGCTCTGAGCAGGGCCCTGAAAGGTCGTGGGTGCGGGCCCTGTAGCAGCCATAGCCCCCACCCCATGTGACCTTGGGGCAGTGACAGCCGCGCTCTGCGGGATAGCCCCACGGCCTGGTCTGGCAGCTGAGCAGGAGCTCAGACATTCAAGGTGCTGAGACGCTACCGCGAGGGGGCCGCAGGAGACCACAGGGTGGCAGCGAGAGCTGGGAGACGGGGGATGATCGCCAGCCTCGTTCATCTCTGCGGCCCCAGCAGCTGGCCCTTGGCGCGGGTCAGCTGGCCACAGAGTGTGCGCGGCCTGCTCGGGGTTATTCTACCTCCTTCCGGAGCCCGGCGCCCACCCTCTGCCCCGTGAAACACTGGTGAGCGTGCACGGCTGCCGGCGTGAGGGGCGTGTGCACTCACTAGCATGACATGCGGCCAAGGCGGGCTGCGTGTGCCGAGAGTCGCACGGCAGGCTTGGGCGCCAGGCTCATGCCCAGCCCCTCCACTCCCCTGTCAGCCCTTCGTGGCGGGTTCCCCTCGTCGCTGCTGTGTCTTCACCTTGGAAAGGCTGGGGGGTGCCGTGTGCGGGGGCGTGAGCAGGGACAGCGTCCCGAACCAAAGCCACGCCAGCCCTGCCCTCTCATTTTACAACAGGGAAACTGAGGCACAGAGTGTTTCAGAGACTTGGTGGCAGAGCGGGGAACAGTGCCATGTCGGCGGTTGGACAGCGCCACTTCCCAGGGTGGGAGGTGGAGGGTGGCATCCTGTGGGACACGTGCTCAGCTGCACTCCAGCTGTGTCCTGGCTTAAGAAAATCCAGCCAGCTGGCCTGGGGGTTGGGCGTGGCCGCGGAGAGCCAGCTGCTACCAGGAATCCCATCTGCAGCCGGAGCTGGGGGAATACAGGGGGGAGCCTGGAGCAGACGGGCCGGGCGCTGAGCCAGGGTGTCTGCACGAGGATAGCTGCCCGCCCCGGTCCACTCCTGGCAGGTTCCCTGTGGGGCACTGGAGGGGCCGTCTGCCTTTCTGGACCCAGCAGCCTGTCCACGGCACGGCGCCCCCTGCTGGTTAGACTCTGGGAGCAGCGTGACAGCTGGCTGAGCCCCCCCCGGTCGGCACACGGCCTCAGAGAGCCACCCGATGAGGGGCAGAGATGTCCCGGGGCGTGGAACCTGGCGAGAAGGGCAGCGGGAAAGGGACAGGGAGAAGGCTCGTTCTTCGGCTCGGCTTCCCCAAGCAATGGGGCGATGGCACCGGCTCGCCCCTCCCTGGCATTGGCCTGGGGGGGGGGAGCTCAGCGTTCACGGGGTTGCACTGCTAGGCAGACCCTGGGAGGTGTCTGCATGTGCATGGACGGTCCCATAGGGAAAGCTCTCTGTAAGGCGCTAGCCAGTGGAGCCTCACAACCCCCTGCCTCTTCTCACAGACGGGGAAACTGAGGCAGGGAGCGTTTCAGTGACCTGTCCTGCTCAGTGGCAGATCCGGGACAGCGCCCAGAAATCCTGACTCCTGGCCCCTCCAGTCCCTGACCGGCGCTGCTTCCTTTGCATTCCCGGCGGTGCCCCGGGCCCGGCCAGACGTGTGCGTTTGTACAAATCATAGATGCACAGGAGCGCCCCAGGCAGGACTCCTCCTGGGCAGGCAGCCAGCAGCCCGCGAGCTGCCAGGGCCGGGCCAGCAAGCACATCTCGCCAGTTCCTTCCGCTCCAGCCTGTGTCGCTTCCCTGCATCCTCGGCAGCCCCGTCCCCTCCGTGCCCGCTGGCGCGTCCTTGTGCTTCGGGCGCTGGTGTGGGACTGCAGCACTCCTCGGGGAGCAGGGGAGGCGTTGCTCGGCAGCCAGCATTCGCCTCGAGCTGATGAGGCCGGCGTGCACGGGGGCAGCGGCGGGTGGCTGCCCCCGGCGGGCGCCG